CATCAAATCCTGAGAAAATACGGAGGAGAGCCACAGGTAGGGCCCTGCTTTGGTCCTACAGTTGGCGAGACTATTTGAACGCAGCCTGACTAAAAATGTTTGGAGTCATGCAGATAAATCATAAGCAAAATTTTTGCCAGATTTTGAATAAAATAAATCCAATCAGTCCCTCCAGGAAGTGCAGTAATACAATTTCTGTACCTTGTCAGTTTTGTCCAAGAACTGGCGCTTTTCTGCCAAATCTATAGAAAATCATTTGTCAGTTTCACTGCCGGTTCACCAAATCGGAGCAGAAGACATTGGAGCCATATGCTCACCCAAATCTTATTTTACTGAATTGTAGCAAATAAAAGCTGAAAATAGATGTTATTGCCAGTGTCAGTGTTCCTTTCTCCTGCAATTGCATTTAAAAAAAATTGGCTAAAAACATGAAACATTTTTAGGAAACCGCGGTTGAAATTGACATTTTAGGCTGCAACGAAACCAAAAAAATCCAGTGAAACCCTGCAGGGACTGCCAGTGTACTCTCATTTTGGTGAGGCTGTTTGGACTGAAGGCCTGGACCAGGTTTCATCCTTCCTACTGTGGGATCCCTGCTCTGTCCTTGATCTCTGACCTCTGTTGAAGGAGGAAGGTCAGACATTATGACACGATCCTTCCAGCATTCACATCCAGGGTTTGGTTTCATGTACGTTTTCAAGATGTTCCGAGGTTCCGTCAACCAAAGAAAAGAACGGGGAATTGCTAAACTGACCCTTCGGAGCCTCTACAATGAAGTTGGGGCAACCCTAAAAGCCCTCCTGTGTGCCTCGCCTTCAGGCACACCTGTATGAGAAATTAACGCGTCTAACGCACTCAGATGGCAGCCGGGCTGAAAAACGCGTCTTCCAACGTGAGGTATGGAGCTCTGCTGAACCTCTGCTGGTGCCCGAGGAAACTGCAGCCGAACTTCTCATACTGCAGTGCAGTGGTGGAGCAGTAATGAGTGGCATTTACTTTAGTGGCATTTGAGGTATAAATAGGCAATAGTACATAACTAATTTAGTATACAGTGTGGGCTTTAAACAAACATTATATTAAAATATATTCATGCAGAAAATGGAGTAAAAGCTGAATAAAAAGGTAAATGGACGACTCAAATGCGTGTTATCTGTGCGACTGCTCTGAGAAGACGGGTTTGTGTGCTCTTCCTGTAAAGGTTGGCTGTGCGGCTGCTTCACCCTGCACTGACCAGAACCTGATGCGGCAGGCTGCCTGCTCTACACGTCCTCCTCTTTACTGCAGTACACCACAGGGGAGGACTTACTCTAGGTAGAGGAGAGAGTGGGTGCGTGTGTGTTCGTGTGTTGCGTGTGTGCCGGTGTGTGTGCGTTGTGCGTGTGCGTGTGTACGTGTGGGGCGTGTGCGTGTGTGTGTGTGTGGTGTGCGCGTGTGTGTGTGTGTGTGTTTGTGTTGTGTGCGGTGTGTGTGTGCGTGTGTGTGTGCGGGTGTGCTGTGTGTGTGGTGTGTGTGCGTGTGGTGCCTGTGTGTGTGTGTGCGTGTGTGGTGTGTGCCGTGGCGTGTGTGTGTGTGTGTGTCGTGCGTGCGCGTTTGTGTGTGTGTGCGTCGGCGCTGTGTTGTTGGTGTGTGTGGTGTGCTGTGTGTTGTGTGTGTGTGTGGTGTTGTGTCCTCCACTTAATGGTGAATTCAGTCCACCCTTTTAATGTTTTTCTCTTCTCCTCTTCTCTCACTGTTTTATCGCGACTTGGAACGATTACTCTCTTCTGGACACTGAGCACTTTTAAACTCTGTGTCGCTGGATGCAGCAGGAAATTATTTGACCCTGTCACAAATTTGTATTTAATTGGCAAAATTAAAAAAGTTGGAAAGCTGTAAATTTGTTTAAAATCTGGCAAGTCAAAATATTTAATAAAGATAGACTTTTCTAAATTCTCTAGATCTGTAAGTTTCTGTAAACCTGGAGTTCGACTCTTTTGTTTTCTTTTTAATCTGTAGATTTCCGTGAGCGACAAAACAAGGACCTCTATTTACGTTTCTGTGTCACAGCTGGTTCTCTGCCAGGATAAAGCCAGCCATCAGCACGCAGCGATCCTGTTTATAGCTCTGTGAGGTGGTAAAGTGACACTGCTGCCGCGCCTCAGCAGCAGCTGGACCGTATGCCTTCATCATCTCTCCGTCAAGATGTCTGGCACATGTGTTCTCCTCACAGAGCAGAGAAATCCCCCCTCGCAGCGTGTCCTTCCTCCATTCCTCCTCCTGGCCTCGCAGTGAGTCACACTGTGAACTAGTATTCAGAGACTCAGCAATTGCAACTTCCTGGAGGGACTGATTGGATTTATTTTATTCAAAATCTGGCAAAATTTTGCTTATGATTTATCCTGCATGACTCCAAACATTTTTAGTCAGGCTGCGTTCAAATAGTCTCGGCCAACTGTAGGACCAAAGCGGGCCCTACCTGTGGCCTCTTCCTCCGTATTTTCTCAGGATTTGATGCTCACCTTGTTCTGGGTCCATATCTCTCCTTCCTCCAGCACCATCAGCGGTGTGTTGCTGGGCAGCGACTGGAAGAATTCCTCAGAGTCCACCACAGTCCCGTCCTCCTCCAGGACCACGGTCAGGAACTGGCAGGACAGCATGAACACCCTGACCGCCTGAGACGCAGCACAAAGGAAACCAATCACTGAAAGTGTCACAGTCTGTGCTGCAGATGTGTGACGTGTCTGACAACGTCACAGAAAGGATCTTCACCTGCTCCAGCAGCTCGTCCAGGGAGCACGCCTCCAAACCTCGCCGCCGCCTCCGGCTGCTGGTGCAGACCTTGAAATAGCGCGGCTGAGCTGAGGGCAGGATGTGGCGAGAGATGGTGGTCTGGACTGTAGACACAGACCTGCCAGGTTATCAAGAGATTATAAAGTTATAAAATATCAGATTAATAGGACATTGTTGGCCTTTGCTTGTACTTTATTGTCCAACCCCTCAAACTAAAGTATTTCCTCCCTTATACTTAAACTCCTCTTCGTTAGTCTGACAGCTGGAACAACTGGTTCCTCTGCAGGTTCAGATTTTAGAAAGAAAATGAGTTGCCAACTAT